CCACTACATTGTTTCATGATTTAAAAAAAAATCCTACAAAATGAGTGTACACTCAAAACTGTGTCCCAAGTATAGCAAAAAATTTTATGGAAATATTATATTTTTAAAGAAGTTTGGTTAAGTTTTGAAAACTAGCATATAGCATTATATAATTACTAAACTGAAGAACAAAATATTAAATTACCTCTTTTTTTGGTTATAGTATCAAACGTCTATACATCTGCTTCACGTTTAACTGTTAACACTTGTAGTTTGAAAGCCTCTCAGTCTTTCTTGCTGTCTAATGGATGTTTGCTTAATAAGCCTTGAAACTATTGTAGGCTTGAGTTTATATAAATGTCACCTCCAAACACACAATATAATAAATATTTATCCTATATAGAGTGTCCAGATATTCTACCTATGTCTTTCTGGTCTCATTCCTGGAACTTATTTCTACTACCAGGACACTCTTCTCATGAAGATAGTGTTCCTGAGAAAGCAAACAAAAAACAAAAACAAAATTGTCTACTTTCTTTTTACTCTCTTGCCTCTGTTTCTTGTCTCATGAATTCAATTTCCTGGTTCTTTGCTCATAGAAACAATGCTTGGAAACAGAATGTGATTCTGCTTCCTGTGGCACAGGCTCCTCTGCTAGGTTCTTTCCTTTTATCCTTTTATTAAAACTTATTCTAACATTATATTTTATTTTCAGCATATTTTCTACCAAAATTCAGAATTAGCAAGGAATCTCTGGTTAAAGTTAAGCATCATGGCTATGTGAGTTAAATGAAAGTTAAGTATATTCAACATGCATAAATATTGGCATACGGCACAGCATCCAAGGACACAGTCTCACAAGATAATTAAAACACTTAACTTTGATATGTGAGAGCTTGTTTTGAAAATGAAACTCTACACCCACATACAAACATAACATATACCAGAGAATTTTCAAGTTATTTTTTCAAAGGAATGTCTCCTAGTATGATCACAAAAGTTGGATGTGAGGAGTAATTAATTATCTCATACTTTTAGCTACAGTGCTTAGACAGTAGAGATTACACTTTTAAATTGGGACACAAACCTGGAAAAAAAAGTTAAGTTGGTTCTCTGAGGTCTTATGTATAACTAAGAATGCTTATATTTTTCATCAAACTATTCTGTGTTAAAGGTTTGCTTTATAGCCAATTAGTTTTGCTGTATTCAGAGTCATATATTTAATAATGAGAAAAATGTTTTCTACACGTTGTTTTAGAAGAGATGTATGAGCACTTCAGAATTCTATCAGAAAAGAAACATGTATCAAAGTAATTTTTCACTTTGTTACATATTAGAATATATCAACATCTACCCTATATATTAAAGCAAGTTCTATTCAATACATGCATAAATAATGGAATTAATAATATAAAATATAAATGTACAAATAAGTTGACAAATTGTTGAAAATTATTTGCTTGAAGATGAAAGTCAAATAATAAAATTTGGGGAATACCAAAATGTCATATGCTTTTATATGTCTAGGGAGATTGATTACTCAATCCACTTCTTTTTAAAGATTTATGTGCACTCAAATATATTGTAACTCTTTCTGAAAGAAAAGATACTATTCATACAATGAATGTGTTTCATATTGATCTTTAACAACAAAATAATCTTTCAAACATAACTATGTAGAACAGAAATTATTTCAGTATCTAGCAGACTTCTCTTGGAGAAAGAAATATACGGAGAGCCAATTTGGTGTAGAGGATGAGATTCCAAAGCATATTTTAGAAGAAATAAGTGTAATGAATTAAAAAAAAATAAAATTGAAATTCCTTGCGTAAGAAGTAAATGCAGAAGTTCCGTCTCTAGAATGGCAATTCAAAGAGCTCCATGGATCTTTTTTTCCAGTAAAATTGTTGAAAATTATAAAAAAACAACCATCTCTGTCACTTGAAAAGTCATAATGGTACATAGAAAATTATGACGTATTTATTCAAGAAAATCTACTGAAAACTTAGTAAGAACAGTGAGAGTTTTTTTTCATTTGATCTACAACCCACTCTTACCTCTTTCTCCCAGCCTATCTTGATATCAACTCTACTCAAGGCAATGTAGCCAAGAACACAAGACTTTTACTAGATCCCAGTAGGGGACTATGGTATGTTTCTGGGAGTAGCAGGACATCAGAATCTTTCATTTCAGCCCTCACCAGCTGCCACTACCTGTTCCTGAGGTTAAGCTTTTGTTGAATGTGGCCAAGAAGTAGAATGTCACTTCTTCCTGTCAGCTCTAATTCATGGAATGAAGACACTGTTTTGGGTGTAACACTTTGAGAACACTGAGCTCTGATTGCCTTCTTTCTGATTTGTCTCTAAGGCAAAGTTCTCATTTCAGGAGAAGCAAGCTGAGATTACCATTGGCTATTCCTCATCCCAGTGACCCAGTCTCAAAGTAGAGCTGTCACTCTGAAAGGAGAATGCTGCTCTCTTTGCTACCATCACCAGAGCCAAGGCTCTGAAGTTTTGCCCAAAGAAAGGGGCAGAACATATAGCAGAGTGATAAAGCTCTTCCCAAAAGAAGAGTTTGGGGAAATTCAACCATAATGGTGCTTTGAAAATAATGATGGGTTGGTAAAAAGCAAATAAGAGACTGGCACTTTATTAGAGATATATAGTTTGAAACAAAGGCCAGCTAGTTTACTGGAAATAACCAGGAAAGAGTCAGGTTAAGAAGAGCCCTCCTGGTGTTAGGAAAAAATTTTGAATGCTGAACAAATGAAAAGAACTGAAATAATAAACAAAACTCTAATATAACAAAAGCTGTAAATACATAGTATATTTATTTTTATCTCTTTGGTTTTTTTAAAGAAATAAAACTACGTCAAGGGTGTCAGTCTGTTATATATATATATATATATATATATATATATATATATATATACACACACATATATAATCATATATATCTGATATATATGTTTCATTATATATATGATTTTCATTTATATATTTTTTGCATTATATATATAATTTTCATTATATATATATTATATATATATGAAAAGGGGGCATGGTGGTTCATACCTGTAATCCCGACATTTTGAGAGGCTGAGGCAAGCAGGTTGCTTGAGCCCAGGAGTTCAAGACCAGCCTGGGAAATGTAGGGAGACCTCATCTCTACAATAAATATGAAAATTTGCCAGGTGTGGTGGTACATACTTGTGATTTCAGCTACCCAGGAGGCTGATGGTCTGAATTTGGTATATATATACTAGACCAAGAAATCTGTAAAGAAGAAACTTATTTCTCATAGTTTTGGATGCCAGAAGTTCAAGATCAATTAGGTGTCAATTTGGTGTCTGCAGAGGTGCCTTGAATGTTACATCTGCCAGAGGACTATGTCTTCATATGGTGAAAAGGATGAAAAATCAAAGGGTTGTAATTCCCTCTAGCCCTTTTATAAGACTCTCATACCATTCATGAAGACAGCTCGAATGGCCTTATCATGTCCTCAAGGTTCCAGCTCTTAATACTGTCACATTGAGATTAAGTTTCAACATGAACTTTGGAAAGGACAAAACAACAAACTATAGCATTAAGTAACAGTTATAACAAAAATTACTGGATATATAACATATATAAATGTAATGTGCACAGCAATAATCACACAAAAAGAAGGATAGTCAAACTTTACAAAACTGCACAAAAGTAAAATTTATATATACATGTGTATCACTATAATTGTTATGCATCTAAAATCAATTCTGATAAGACATAAACAGTAAACTCTACAGTAACAAGGGAAAAATTTTAAAATCTATAGAAAAAATATTATTTAAAAATTAAATATTATTAAAAAAATAAAAATGTTATATAAGAAAAATGGTAATTCAAAAGAAAATAATAAAAAAGGAATAAGGTATCAAAAGGCATTAACTATATAGAAAACTGAAATAAAATGATAGTTATAAATCCAACTATACTAGTAATCTTAAGTGAAAATGAATTTAAATATCTAAATAAAAGTTAGAGACTGTCAGACTAGAGGAAAAATATTAAATAAACAAGATTAATCTACATATTGTCTACAGGAGATGCACTTTAGATCCAAAAATGAAAATTCATAGAAAAGAAAAGAATGAAAAAGTTATATCACGCAGGCAGTAACCATATGAAAGCTGAAATTGTTATACTAATATCAGGAAAAAATAGATTTTAAAACAAAAGGAGTTAAAGAGGTCAAGAGATATATTTTATAAAAATAAAATGGTCAATTTCTCAAAACTAGAAAACAATTATAAGCCTATATGTGCCTGATGAAAAGACATCAAAATCCATTGATACAGAAACTTCCAAAAATGAAGATAAAATTGACAACTTAAAATATTACTTGTTGACTTTAATATTCACTCTCACAATTGGATAATATAACTAGGCAGAAGAGAAACAAAGAAATAGAATACTTGAACAATACTATAAAATAACTAGACCTATTAAACACTTAAGGAAAACTGTAACAACAGTGGATTCTCAATTGCACATGAAACATTATCCAGGAAGACCAAATCCTAGGCCATAAAATAAATCTTGATGAATTTAAAACATTGAAATAATACAAAGTATGTTTTCAGACAATAATCGAGTAAAATAATAAATCAGTAATAGGAAGATTTGGGAAACTCAGAATTATGTGGAAATTAAACAACATACTCTTTTTCATTTCTTTTTGTTGTTGTTGTTTTCTAATATAAAACAACACATATGAGTAGGTGTTCTTGGAAAATGTTGGGAAACCTTTCACATGTTTCAACATTTATTATTGGAAATTATCCCATAGCAAAATTGCTTGGTTTGTATTCTATTCAACACAAGGCTTGTGTTAAAGCAACATCAAGGTCCCAGCATTGTATTCCAGCTCTTCAATGCAACTGCCATCATCCTACAAGCTCCCATCACCAGCACCCTCATAACTGTTTAAATAACACAGCCATGAGTGACAAAAAGAAAAAAGTTAGATTCCACCTTGCATTTACTGTCAGCTCAACTTGTAGGCCCCATAAGAAAACAATATCTTATTGGGGAGGGATATGTACTTTCTCATCTACCCTCAGGCAATGCCAGAGCACTTTCCAGGCAAAAAAAAAAAAAAAAAAAAAAATAGCCCTGAGTAAGGCTGCGGAACAACATAGATAGACTGACCAATAAGAAAGAGAAAATATTCAAGTATTAATGAAATTATTAAAAGGACACACTAAACTTAAAGAAATAAAGATAATTATAAAATTATCTATGAACGACTCTATGCTAAAATTTAGATATGTTGTATAAACTGGACAAATTCTAAGAAAGATATGAATTAGCAAAATGAATCAAGAAAAAAATATAAAATCTTATCAAGTAAAGAGATTAATAATCAAAACTACTACTCCAGGAAACAATAAAACAGCAACGAATTCCTTTAGCCAATAATACCTCTTCCAAACTTTTAAAGTTGAATCAATACAATGTTTTCAAACTCTTGCAAAAAAAAATAATAACAATAAATAACAAAAGAGAACACACTTCCCAATTTATCCTATGAAGCCAGTATTACTTTAACGCCACAACCAGACAAAAGCATAAAAAAAAGGAAGAAAAGAAAAAGAAAATACAGAACAATATCTTTAACAAAAATAGATGGGAAAAATCCTCAGCAAAATATTAATGATCAAAATCCAGCAATACGTAAAACAGTATAATATGCTGTAACTAGGCAGGATTTATCTCAGGAATGCAAAACTGTTTCAACATCTGGAAGTCAATTAATGTAATATTCTACATTAGTAGAATTAAAAACAAAACCAATAAATCATCTCCATAGATATAGAAAAATAAAGGTTACAAAATCCAATGACGTTTAATGATAAAAAAAATTTAAGAAATCAGAAATAGAAGGGAACTTCCTCAGTCTGATAATGGGCTTCTGGGAAAACCCAAAAATAATATCAAACTTAATGGTAAAAAGCAAAATATTTTTGCCTAATATCAGTAACAAGACCAGTATATCTGCTCTAGACTTGTGTAATTAACATTATTCTATAAGTTTCAGTTAGTATTAGGACAATTAGGCCAGAAAATAAAACAAATTCCAAATTGAAAAGGAAAAGGAAAACTATCTCTATTTGCAGATTACATGATCTTGTACTCCAATAATCCACCCAAAACATAGAACTTAAAAAAGAAAGTTACTGGAAGGAATGGCTGTGGGTACAGCTTCAGCAGACTTAAATGTTCCTGGTTCCTGTGTGCTGGCTCTAAAGAACATTGACTCTCCTAGAACAGTGATCGTACTCTGCTAAGAGACAGACTGCTTCCTCAAGTGGGTCCCCGACCGCCGAGCTTCCTGACTGAGAAACACCTTCCAGCAGTGGTTGACAGTCACCTCATACAGAAGAGCTCCAGGTATCGTCTGGTGGGTACCCCTCTGGGAAGAAGTTTCCATAGGAAAGAACAGACAGCAATCTTTGCTATGCTGCAGCCTCTGCTGGTGACACTCAGGAAAAGAGAGTCTGGAGTGGACCTCCAGCAAACTCTAGCAGACCTGCAGCAGAGGGGACTGTTAGAAGGAAAACTAACAAACAGAAAGGATTAACATTAACATCAACAAAAAGGATGTCCACACAAAAACTCCCATCCAAAGGTCACCAACATCAAAGGCAGATAAATTCATGAAGATGAGAAAAAGCCAATAGAAAAAGGTGGAATATTCCAAAAACCAGATTGCCTTTTCTCCTGCAAAGAATGACAACTCCTTGCCAGCAAGGGAACAAAACTTGACAGAATCAGAGTTTGACATATTGACAGAAGTAGGGTTAAGAAGGTGAGTAATAACAAACTCCTCTGAGCTAAAGGAGCATGTTCTAACCCAATGCAAGGAAGCTAAGAACCTTGAGAAAAGATTAGAAGAATTACAAACTAAAATAACCAGTTCAGAGAAGAAAATAAATGAACTGATGGAGCTGAGAAACACAATATGAGAACTTCATGAAACATACACAAGTATTAATAGCTGAATCAATCAAGCTGAAAGAAGGATATCAGAGATGGAAGATCAACTTAATGAAATAAAGTGTGAATACAAGATTAGAGAACAAAGAAAAGGAACAAACAAAACTTCTAAGAAAGATGGTACTATGTGAAAAGACTAAACCTAGGTTTGATTGGTGTATCTGAAAGTGAAAGAGAGAATGGAACCAAGTTGGAAAACATTCTTCAGGATATTACCCAGGAGAACTTGCCCAACATAGCAAGACAAGCCACCATTCAAATTTAGGAAATACAGAGAACACCACAAAGATACTCCTCAAGAAGAGCAACCCCAAGACACATAATTGTCAGATTCACCAAGGTTGAAATGAAAGAAAAAGTGCTAAGGGCAGCCAGAGAGAAAGGGTGGGTTACCAACAAAGGGAAGCTCATCAGACTAACAGGAGACCTCTCTGCAAAAATCCTCCAAGCCAGACAAGAGTGGAGTCCAATATTCAACATTCTTAAAGAAAATAATTTTCAACCCAGAATTTTGTAACTAGCCAAACTAAGATACATAAGCAAAGGAGAAATAAGTTCCTTTACAGACAAGCAAATGCTGAGAGATTTTTGTCACCACCAGGCCTGTCTTTCAAAAGCTCCTGAAGAAAGCATTAAATATTGAAAGAGAAAACTGGTACCAGTCATTGCAAAAACATACCAAATTGTAAAGAACATCGACATTATGAAGAAACTGCGTTAACTTATGGGCAAAATAACCAGCTAGCATAATAATGATGAGATCAAATTCACACATAGCAATATAACCTTAAATATAAATGGACTAAATGTCCCAATTAAAAAACACAGAATGGCTAATTGCATAAAGAGTCAAGACTCATTGGTGTGCTGTATTCAGGAGACACATCTCACATTCAAAGACACACATAGGCTCAAAATAAAGGGATGGAGGAATATTTACCAAGTAAATGGAAAGGAAAAAAAAAAGCAGGGGTTGCAATCTTAGTCTCTTGGATAAAACAGACTTTAAACCAACAAAGATCAAAAAAGACAAAGAAGGACATAGCATAATGATAAAGGGATCAACATCACAATAAGACCTAACTAATCTAAACTTACATGCATCCAATGAAAGAGCACCCAGATTCATAAAACAAGTTCTTATAAACATAAAAAGAGACTTAGACTCCCATAAAATCGTAGTGGGAGACTTTAACACCCCATTGTCAATATTAGATCAATGAGACAGAAAATTAACAAGCATATTCAGGACTTGAACTCAGCTCTGGTCCAAGTGGACCTAATAGACATCTACAGAACTCTCCACTCCAAATCAACAGAATGTATATTCTTCTCAGCACCACGTTGCACTTATTCTAAAATTGACCACATAATTGGAAATAAAACACTCCTCAATAAATGCAAAAGAACAGAAATCATAACAGTCTCTCAGACCACAATGCAATCAAATTAAAACTCATAATTAAGAAACTCACTCAAAACCACACAACTACATAAAAACTGAACAACTTGCTCCTGAATGACTACTGGGTAAATAACAAAATTAAGGAAGAGATAAAGAAGTTCTTTGAAACCAATGAAAACAAAGACACTATGTACTGGAATCTCTGGGACACATATAAAGCAGTGTTTAAAGAGAAATTTATACCATTATGCACACAGGAGAAAGCAGAAAAAAAAACTAAAATTGACACCCTAACATCACAATTAAATGAACTAGAGAAGAGCAAACAAACTCAAAAGCTAGCAGAAGACAAGAAATAACTAAGATCAGGGCAGAACTGAAGGAGATAGAGACATGAAAAGCCCTTCAAAAAATCAATGAATCCAGGAGCTAGTTTTTTTGTTTGTTTGTTTGTTTGTTTGTTTGTTTTTGTTTTTGTTTTTGGTTTTTTTTTGATTAACAAAATATATAGACTGCTAGTGAAACTAATAAAGAAGAAAAGAGAGAAGAATCAAATAGACATAATGAAAATAATAAAGGGAATATCAGCACTGATCCCACAGAAAAACAAATTACTAACTATAAACAACTCTATGAAAATAAACTAGAAAATTGAGAAGAAAGGATTAAATTCCTGGACACATACACCATCCCAGGAGTAAATCAGGAAGAAGTCATATCCCTTCATAGACCAATAACAAGTTCTGAAATTGAGGTGGTAATTAATAGCCTACCAACCAAAAAAAGCCCAGGACCAGATGGATTCATAGCTGAATTCTGCCAGAGGTACAAAGAGAAACTGGTACTGTTCCTTCTGAAACTATTCCAAACAATAGAAAAAGAGGGACTCCTCACTAACTCATTTTATGAGACCAGCATCATCCTGATACCAAAACCTGGCAGAGAGGCACACACAAAAGAAAATTTCATGTCAATAACCCTGATAAACATCGATGTGAAAATCCTCAATAAAATACTGGCAAACTAAATCCAGCAGGACATCAAAAAGCTTATTTACCACGATCAAGTTGGCTTCAGCCCTGTGGTACAAGGTTGACTCAACATACACAAATCAATAAACATAATCTATCACATAAACGGAACCGGTGGAAAAAAAATGATAATCTCAATAGGTGCAGAAAAGTTCTTCAGTGAAATTCAACACCCCTTCCTACTAAAAACTCTTAATTGATCATCTCAAAATAATAAGAGCCATTTATGACAAATCCACAGCCAATATCATACTGAATGAGCAAAAGCTGGAAGCATTCCCTTTGAAAACTGGCACAGACAAGGATGCCCTCTCTCACCACTCCTATTCAACATAGTATTGGAAATTCTGGCCAGAGCAATCAGCCAAGAAAAAGAAATAAAGCATATGCAATTTGGAAAAGAGGAAGTCAAATTGTTTCTATTTGCAGACATGATTGTATATTTTGAAAACTCCATCATCTAAGCCCAAAATCTCCTTAAACTGATTAGCAACTTCAGCAAAGTATCTGTATACAAAATCAATGTGCAAAAATTACAAGCATTCATATACACCAATAATAGAGACCCAAATAATAAGTGAGCTCCCATTCACAATTGCTACCAGGAATACAACTCACAAGGGATGTGAAGGACCTCTTTGAGGAGAACTGCAAACCACTGCTCAAGGAAATAAGAAAGGACACAAACAAATGGAAAAA